GCAACAAATATGGATAACCAAATCGCTGCTGAAATCTGGATAACAAATCAGCAGAGAGGGAGAGAGAGAAGGAGATGGGGAATGTATGTGTTCCTCCATGTAAAGTGGGAGAGGGAGGGAGATAGAGAGAGAGGAGAGAGAGACAGAGATAGAGAGAGAGAGAGATAGAGAGAGATAGAGAGACAGAGAGATAGAGAGAGACAGAGAGAGAGAGATCAAGGGGGAGAGAGAGAGAGAGAGAGAGGAGAGAGAGAGAGAGAGAGAGAGAGAGAGAGAAGAGAGAGAGAGAGAGAGAGAGGAGAGAGAGAGAGAGAGAGAGATCAAGGCAGAGATGTGTTCTGTAAAGTGGGGTCAGATCCAGCTGGTTTCAGATCCAGCTGGCACATTTACTGGAACATTACACATAAACGCACATATGCACAAGCACACGCGCACAGTACATTTAGTAGAATATTTCAAGACATCAACATGCAGCATTTAGTAGCACCATCTGTCCTCCAGATCTCTAATACTTTGTACTGGTATATTGTCTCTCTCTCTCTCTAGATATGTACTGGTATATTGTCTCTCTCTCTCTCTCTCTAGAAATTTACTGGTATACTGTCTCTCTCTCTCTCTAGATATGTAATGGTATAATGTCTCTGTCTCTCTCTCTCTAGATATGTACTGGTATATTGTCTCTCTCTCTCTCTAGATATGTACCTGGTATACTGTCTCTCTCTCTAGATATGTACTGGTATACTGTCTCTCTCTCTAGATATGTACTGGTATACTGTCTCTCTCTCTAGATATGTACTGGTATACTGTCTCTCTCTCTAGATATGTACTGGTATATTGTCTCTCTCTTTCTAGATATGTACTGGTATATTGTCTCTCTCTCTCTCTAGATATGTACTGGTATACTGTCTCTCTCTCTAGATATGTACTGGTATACTGTCTCTCTCTCTAGATATGTACTGGTATATTGTCTCTCTCTATATATATATGTACTGGTATACTGTCTCTCTCTCTAGATATGTACTGGTATACTGTCTCTCTCTCTCTCTAGATATGTACTGGTATACTGTCTCTCTCTCTAGATATGTACTGGTATACTGTCTCTCTCTCTAGATATGTACTGTTATATTGTCACTCTCTCTCTCTAGATATGTATTGGTATACTGTCTCTCTCTCTAGATATGTACTGGTATACTCTCTCTCTCTCTAGATATGTACTGGTATACTGTATCTCTCTCTCTCTCTAGATATGTACTGGTATACTGTCTCTCTCTCTAGATATGTACTGGTATACTGTCTCTCTCCCTAGATATGTACTGGTATATGGTCTCTCTCTCTCTCTAGATATGTACCTGGTATACTGTCTCTCTCTCTAGATATGTACTGGTATACTGTCTCTCTCTCTAGATATGTACTGGTATACTGTCTCTCTCTCTAGATATGTACTGGTATACTGTCTCTCTCTCTAGATATGTACTGGTATATTGTCTCTCTCTCTCTAGATATGTACTGGTATATTGTCTCTCTCTCTCTCTCTAGATATGTACTGGTATACTGTCTCTCTCTCTAGATATGTACTGGTATACTGTCTCTCTCTCTAGATATGTACTGGTATATTGTCTCTCTCTATATATATATGTACTGGTATACTGTCTCTCTCTCTAGATATGTACTGGTATACTGTCTCTCTCTCTCTCTAGATATGTACTGGTATACTGTCTCTCTCTCTAGATATGTACTGGTATACTGTCTCTCTCTCTAGATATGTACTGTTATATTGTCACTCTCTCTCTCTAGATATGTATTGGTATACTGTCTCTCTCTCTAGATATGTACTGGTATACTCTCTCTCTCTCTAGATATGTACTGGTATACTGTATCTCTCTCTCTCTCTAGATATGTACTGGTATACTGTCTCTCTCTCTAGATATGTACTGGTATACTGTCTCTCTCCCTAGATATGTACTGGTATATGGTCTCTCTCTCTCTCTAGATATGTACTGGTATATTCTCTCTCTCTCTCTCTCTAGATATGTACTGGTATACTGTCACTCTCTCTGTCTAGATATGTACTGGTATACTGTCTCTCTCTAGATATATACTGGTATACTGTCTCTCTCTCTATATATGTACTGGTATACTGTCTATCTCTCTAGATATGTACTGGTATACTCTCTCTCTCTCTCTCTCTCTCTCTAGATATATACTGGTATATTGTCTCTCTCTCTCTCTAGATATGTACTGGTATATTGTCTCTCTCTCTCTCTAGATATGTACTGGTATACTGTCTCTCTCTCTAGATATGTACGGGTATAATGTCTCTCTCTCTAGATATGTACTGGTATACTGTCTCTCTCTCTAGATATGTACTGGTATATTGTCTCTCTCTCTCTAGATATGTACTGGTATGCTGTCTCTCTCTCTAGATATGTACTGGTATACTGTCTCTCTCGCTCTCTAGATATGTAATGGTATGCTGTCTCTCTCTCTAGATATGTACTGG